CAACAATTAGCAACTTCGTTACGAATGTTATTTTATTCACTTTATCTTATCTCTACAGTTATTCCATGCTACCCTACGGTTCCCTTGCGATAACAACTAGCCGCACTGCTTGGAGCCCTAACGCTCCGCTACCCATTCTGGGGTTATGTTCCCACTTTGTTATTGCTGACACACGTCTACTCACTGTGAAGGTCTCTCCAAAAGTGCCGGCTCGTTCGCTACCGAGCCGTGCGCTTGCCTCGATTACTCAACTTCGCCGCGAGCTTTCGCAACTTCGCTTCGGAGCTTTCGCTCTTTGCCATCGAATCGAAGCTGCGCTCTCGAAGGCGGTGTTGAGCAACCGATCAGCAACGCACGGTTGCTGCGATGGCCGGCGGTTAAATTCGAATACAAATCTATTCCCAATAGATGTTTAACAATACAATACTTATAGAAACGGCTCCTTGCCTTCTTTACTATTAATACTTATGCTACATACAAAATAATAAAACTATAAATCTAATGGCTCCTTGGCTTCCTTACAACTAATACTTATGCTACTTATAACTAACAAAACAATAAAACTATAACTCTAACGGCTCCTTGCCGTGAAACAGAATTGTGGGGTGGCCGCTCTAGGTAGCCGCCTCACACCCCCCCCCCTTACTTCGAGGAGGTGACGGTTACGTCGCCTTTTGCGTTCACCGTGACGTTGTAATCCTTGGGGCCCTCTGACACCCGGAAGCGGGTCCGTCGTAATCGGCCCAAGCGGATTGTAACCTCTTCCTCGATGAGATCCACTAAAGCCGCCGACAGAGGCATCCCGCGGGGAAACACCCTCCACCCCAAGGGGGTGGAATCAGAAACAAGGCTTTTGACGGTCTTCGTAGGCGTAGGAGTCCTTGGCGCGTACTCGGGACTGGCAGCCAGAGGGACTGCTTCCAGGTCCACTTCTTCGTCGAACACCGACTCCAAGCTCGTGTCCCACCCGTCGATTCCGTCGAACAATTCCGCGACGTCCCCCCACAGCTCTCTATCGGAGGGGGTCTTGTGGACCTCTGTGGATGAAGCGGGTGCCGTTTCCGCTTCTTCGAACCATACGCTTTCTGTATCTGTACGGTGGGCGGCAACCGGCATCTCCGCGCGTGTGACGGGCACCAGCGGCGGCATCCCGTCTTGCGGCCCAAACCATGCCTCTTCCATCTCCTCCCGGGAAGGGGTGCCAGGTGCCCGTGCGCGTATTATGGGCACGAGGGGGGGCATCGCATCATCATCTCTGGTCTGCTGTTCCTCTGCAACCATCTGGCAGACAGTTATTGGTACCCTCCAGGGATCGGAACATCCCCCTGGGGGAGTAACCACGGCTCCACAACTCCGGTTATCTTTCTCAGGCTGAGAAGGACCCTCTTGGCGCTCGCGGAGCGAACGCGGCACACGAAGTTGCGGATCTTTGGGTGCCTCTGTCTCCGAGCGAGACCTTTTGGGGGTGGATACTGCTGTCCTCTCGACACTGGGCTGCCGTTGGCTCCCACTTCGGCGACGCTTACCTCTGGTGGCTGTCTGACGACGGTGGCGGTTTCGCCGGCGTTTTCCCCCAGGATTATCTCGTGTGCTTGATTTTCCCCGCTTTGAAAGGCCGGAACGGGATGCACCACTCATCTCGGGGATCTTTGGCAGGTAGCGCAGAGTAATCCGCGGGAAGCGGCTATTAGGGTCTACCTCCAAACGGTGGGTGGCGAGGCGGCGACGGAATAACGGTTCCTCGTCCGTTATGGGCTCCGGCGTCGGTTGGCTCCTCTTCTCGGCAATGTCCGATTCGCTGCGGAGTTGGTCGGACTCTGCGTCGGCTGCTGGGGTGTCGCATGCTACACCCGATGGCGACGACTCGACTTCCGGGGCCGACGGTGGAATTCCTGCTCCTGCCGCCTCCATCGATCTGGGCTCTCGCATTGGTGGCGTGTGCTCGTCCGTCTCGAGGGGTAGGAGGTCCTCCTCGTCCACTTGTACGTCCACCTCGTCAGTTGCTGTTCGGACTGCCCTCTCGGGTGACATTGTCGAGGGGGGCGCCGACGATATCACTGCTCTGCCTTCGACCCCTCTGGTGGAAAGACCTGCGCATATCCGGAACGACTGAGCGTTCCTTCAGCGTTCGATGAATAGCGCAGCAGTCCCTGCCAGAGTCCGTCTCGACCCGCACTCAAACTAGTGTTGGGAAGATACCATGAGCGACGTAACGAAGCCTCGTCTCTCGCGGTACCCTACACTTCAGGTTAGGAAAGTGGGTTGTTATGGTGAACGACGGAATGAAGCCTCGTCTCTCAATCCTACGTTTTGAGTTAGGTAGGGGAGGTTATGTTGAGTACCGGCTAGCCACGGTACCCGAGGTTAAAGTTATTAAAGGATGACAACAATTAGCAACTTCGTTACGAATGTTATTTTATTCACTTTATCTTATCTCTACAGTTATTCCATGCTACCCTACGGTTCCCTTGCGATAACAACTAGCCGCACTGCTTGGAGCCCTAACGCTCCGCTACCCATTCTGGGGTTATGTTCCCACTTTGTTATTGCTGACACACGTCTACTCACTGTGAAGGTCTCTCCAAAAGTGCCGGCTCGTTCGCTACCGAGCCGTGCGCTTGCCTCGATTACTCAACTTCGCCGCGAGCTTTCGCAACTTCGCTTCGGAGCTTTCGCTCTTTGCCGTCGAATCGAAGCTGCGCTCTCGAAGGCGGTGTTGAGCAACCGATCAGCAACGCACGGTTGCTGCGATGGCCGGCGGTTAAATTCGAATACAAATCTATTCCCAATAGATGTTTAACAATACAATACTTATAGAAACGGCTCCTTGCCTTCTTTACTATTAATACTTATGCTACATACAAAATAATAAAACTATAAATCTAATGGCTCCTTGGCTTCCTTACAACTAATACTTATGCTACTTATAACTAACAAAACAATAAAACTATAACTCTAACGGCTCCTTGCCGTGAAACAGAATTGTGGGGTGGCCGCTCTAGGTAGCCGCCTCACACCCCCCCCCCCCCCTTACTTCGAGGAGGTGACGGTTACGTCGCCTTTTGCGTTCACCGTGACGTTGTAATCCTTGGGGCCCTCTGACACCCGGAAGCGGGTCCGTCGTAATCGGCCCAAGCGGATTGTAACCTCTTCCTCGATGAGATCCACTAAAGCCGCCGACAGAGGCATCCCGCGGGGAAACACCCTCCACCCCAAGGGGGTGGAATCAGAAACAAGGCTTTTGACGGTCTTCGTAGGCGTAGGAGTCCTTGGCGCGTACTCGGGACTGGCAGCCAGAGGGACTGCTCCCAGGTCCACTTCTTCGTCGAACACCGACTCCAAGCTCGTGTCCCACCCGTCGATTCCGTCGAACAATTCCGCGACGTCCCCCCACAGCTCGCTATCGGAGGGGGTCTTGTGGACCTCTGTGGATGAAGCGGGTGCCGTTTCCGCTTCTTCGAACCATACGCTTTCTGTATCTGTACGGTGGGCGGCAACCGGCATCTCCGCGCGTGTGACGGGCACCAGCGGCGGCATCCCGTCTTGCGGCCCAAACCATGCCTCTTCCATCTCCTCCCGGGAAGGGGTGCCAGGTGCCCGTGCGCGTATTATGGGCACGAGGGGGGGCATCGCATCATCATCTCTGGTCTGCTGTTCCTCTGCAACCATCTGGCAGACAGTTATTGGTACCCTCCAGGGATCGGAACATCCCCCTGGGGGAGTAACCACGGCTCCACAACTCCGGTTATCCTTCTCAGGCTGAGAAGGACCCTCTTGGCGCTCGCGGAGCGAACGCGGCACACGAAGTTGCGGATCTTTGGGTGCCTCTGTCTCCGAGCGAGACCTTTTGGGGGTGGATACTGCTGTCCTCTCGACACTGGGCTGCCGTTGGCTCCCACTTCGGCGACGCTTACCTCTGGTGGCTGTCTGACGACGGTGGCGGTTTCGCCGGCGTTTTCCCCCAGGATTACCTCGTGTGCTTGATTTTCCCCGCTTTGAAAGGCCGGAACGGGATGCACCACTTATCTCGGGGATCTTTGGCAGGTAGCGCAGAGTAATCCACGGGAAGCGGCTATTAGGGTCTACCTCCAAACGGTGGGTGGCGAGGCGGCGACGGAATAACGGTTCCTCGTCCGTTATGGGCTCCGGCGTCGGTTGGCTCCTCTTCTCGGCAATGTCCGATTCGCTGCGGAGTTGGTCGGACTCTGCGTCGGCTGCTGGGGTGTCGCATGCTACACCCGATGGCGACGACTCGACTTCTGGGGCCGACGGTGGAATTCCTGCTCCTGCCGCCTCCATCGATCTGGGCTCTCGCATTGGTGGCGTGTGCTCGTCCGTCTCGAGGGGTAGGAGGTCCTCCTCGTCCACTTGTACGTCCACCTCGTCAGTTGCTGTTCGGACTGCCCTCTCGGGTGACATTGTCGAGGGGGGCGCCGACGATATCACTGCTCTGCCTTCGACCCGTCTGGTGGAAAGACCTGCGCATATCCGGAACGACTGAGCGGGCCTTCAGCGTTCGATGAATAGCGCAGCAGTCCCTGCCAGAGTCCGTCTCGACCCGCACTCAAACTAGTGTTGGGAAGATACCATGAGCGACGTAACGAAGCCTCGTCTCTCGCGGTACCCTACACTTCAGGTTAGGAAAGTGGGTTGTTATGGTGAACGACGGAATGAAGCCTCGTCTCTCAATCCTACGTTTTGAGTTAGGTAGGGGAGGTTATGTTGAGTACCGGCTAGCCACGGTACCCGAGGTTAAAGTTATTAAAGGATGACAACAATTAGCAACTTCATTACGAATGTTATTTTATTCACTTTATCTTATCTCTACAGTTATTCCAGGCTACCCTACGGTTCCCTTGCGATAAAAACTAGCCGCACTGCTTGGAGCCCTAACGCTCCGCTACCCATTTTGGGGCTATGTTCCCACTTTGTTATTGCTGACACACGTCTACTCACTGTGAAGGTCTCTCCAAAAGTGCCGGCTCGTTCGCTTGCCTCGATTACTCAACTTCGCCGCGAGCTTTCGCAACTTCGCTTCGGAGCTTTCGCTCTTTGCCGCCGAATCGAAGCTGCGCTCTCGAAGGCGGTGTTGAGCAACCGATCAGCAACGCACGGTTGCTGCGATGGCCGGCGGTTAAATTCGAATACAAATCTATTCCCAATAGATGTTTAACAATACAATACTTTTAGAAACGGCTCATTGCCTTCTTTACTATTAATACTTATGCTACATACAAAATAATAAAACTATAAATCTAATGGCTCCTTGCCTTCCTTACAACTAATACTAATGCTACTTAAAACTAACAAAACAATAAAACTATAACTCTAACGGCTCCTTGCCGTGAAACAGAATTGTGGGGTGGCAGCTCTAGGTATCTTTGGGGCCCTCTGACAGCATCATGGCATTCCCGCAGTACCCTCTGACGTTGACTACTGGCCACGCATAGTTTCCAGGGGATGTAGTCCTCGTCGTCTTTCCGATGGCCCAAATGCCTATATAACTGTCCGTTTTCTTGGGTGTAATCCGGGAACTTGGCTGGCTCTTCGGCGATCCTGGCACGCATACTCGCGACCCATTTAAACGGTGACTCGGCCGCCACTGCTTGCTGACAGGTCTTTAGAGGATGTCTTGATAGTGCGTCGGCCACGACGTTGAGCTTCCCTCGTCGGTAGTGAACGTGAAATTGGAATTGCTGCAGTTCCAATGCCCATCGCGCAATCCTTCCTGACGGGCTCTCGATCGAATTGAGCCACTTGAGTGCTAGATGGTCCGTTACTACGTCGAATCGGTACCCTTCTAGGTAGCAACGCAACTTCCGGATCGACCATACGATTGCTAAACACTCCTTCTCGGTGGCGGAATAGTTCACCTCAGCTTTTAGTAACTTCCGGCTCGCGTAAGCGATCACCCGCTCCTGTCCCTCAATTGTCTGTGTCAGCTCTGCGCCGAGGCCATACTCACTCGCGTCAGTCTGCAAGACGAATTTGGCGGAAAAGTCTGGACAAGCCAACACAGGGGCAGTCGTCAAGCTATCCTTCAATTGACGCAATGCCTCTTCCTGTGCTTGCTCCCATGCCCATTTCTGCCCCTTCTTTAAGAGCGCTGTGAGCGGTTGTACTTGAGTCGCGAAGTTAGGAACGAAGCGCCTGTACCATGACGCCATCCCGAGACACTGCCGCAGTTCCTTGCAATTTGTCGGGGCCCTCAGATTACGTATCGCCTCCACCCTCTCTGGATCGGTACGTATTCCTTCCCCACAAATGACATGTCCTAGGTAGACCAACCTCTCCCGGAAGAAACTGCACTTCTTCCTATTCAGTTTGAGATTGGCCGCTCTTAACCGGCGGAACACCGGTCTCGCATATCGTGTTTACATGTTGCTCCTTCGTTGCCCCTATCACCACGATGTCGTCTAAGTAGGCAAACGCATTAGGCTCCATTTCCGGTCCTATTACTGTATCCAATGCTCGCTGAAAGGTCGCACACGCCGAGTGTAGACCAAATGGCATCACCCGCCATTGGAAAATACCTCTTCCGGGGACTGTGAACGCCGTACACTCCCGACTATCGGCTGCCATCGGTATCTGCCAGTACCCGTGCTTCAAATCCAGAGTGGAGATGAACCGGTCGTGACGCAACCGCTCAAGGATGTGATTAATCCTGGGAACAGGATAAGCATCTGGGATGGAATGCGCGTTGAGTTGCCGATGCACATGCGCCACTCGCCAGTCTTCTTTTTGACTAAGACGATTGGGGCGCTGTGCGGACTACGCGACGGCTCGATGGCACCTGCCTGGATCAGCTCCTCCACCTGTTCGTCAATCACCCTTTGCATGGCCGGATTCTTCGGGTAGTATCTCTGCTTCAATGGCTTGTTATCCTTTAGCCGGATCCTATGCTCCGCGATATGTGAGACTCCTTGCAGCCCCTTGAAGAGTGCCAGTTCCTACTCCAGGAACTCCCTAAGTTCCGGATCCAGATCCGCTGGCCACTCTGCCTCTTCGGTGCTGTACTCGCCCTGTGCCTCGTCTATCCCGGGCATCACTCCGACTACAGATGGAGCTTCATGATCGTTCCATTCTGGCAGTCGCTCCTGATCCCCTGTGTCTGGGTGGATCCTAACTATTGCTCCTAGTCCCTCCGTCCTCTGGCACATTTCCGCCGTGCCGCCCCCAGGTGCTCCCCTTCCATGACATGGGAGGCCTTCATTCGGCTCCTTCCTCAAGTTCTTTTCCATCGGTTGCCGAGCAGGTGCTCCATTTCCATGACCTGGGAGGCCTTCCTTCGGTTCCCTCTTGGTATTCTCTCCCTGTAGCCGAGCAGGTGCTCCCGCCTCTTGACGCGTGAGACCCTCTTTCGGCTCTTCTCTCGTTCCTGGCCCCACGATCGGTGCCGTCACCGTCTCTAGGTCCAGCTTTGCAATGCCGCAGCGGATTGTAGTGCCCATCGCGCCCAAGAAATCCATCCCTAGGATGACGTGGTCCAGCATTGAGGGCATGATAAGCATCAACATGCTGACCACCTTCCCCGCTAGGCCGACGTCTAACCTCAATGCCTTCCCTACTTCGAGCGTGGATCCATCTGCCAGACGAATGCGCGCCTGCATGTTCTCCACTCTACCCCGAATCGCCCATTTACGTACACAGTCTTCACTCATGAAACTGCAAGTGGCCCCTGTATCGATAGTAGCGGGCATCGTGGCGACGATCCGGCCACCTTCCACCTTAAGCGGGTGTACTACTTCCGAGTCCCTTGTGTGTCGGCGTCGACCGGACCCTGACCTGGGCGACGTCGTTGCCCGTTTCCCGCCTCCGTGCGGCGACAACAGACCTGGCTACTTCTGCCCCGGTGCCCGCATACCCAACAAAACACGACGGGCGCGTTGGGACATTCCCTGGCAAAGTGCCCCTCCTGTGCGCACCTCCATCATTTGGTGGGCCACTTCCGCAGGGGCCGTTGCCGGCTCCGGATCCGATGGGAGTAGACCGGAACGGGTTGAGGTGTCCCCCCGGGGGTTGTACCGTCCTCGCCCACTCTGCGCTACTTGAGCTCGTGACCACCTGACTCCCTGACCTGCTTCCGGAGTATTCCGCTCTCTGTCTCATCACCGTTTCGTACTCCACGGCGAGCAGAGTCAGCTGGGATAAGGTGGAGAAATCTTGCCGTCGTACGTAAAGCCTGTATTCGGGGGCAGCATTCTCATATATACGGTGCAGCTCCTGTGCCGGCTCATATGTGGCATGATGCATCAAAGCCCTCAGCTCTATGAGGTATTCCTTAAACTCTTCCCCCACACGCTGCCGGCGGGATCGGATTTCGTCCTCTAGCCTCTCGAAGTAGCGTGGTGGTAGAAAGAACTCTAAGAAACCCCTCCTAAATACCGACCATGGCACATCCCTCAGTCCACTGCTCAAAAACCAACGAGCGGCCCGGTCGCAGAATACCTCACTCATGGCCCGGGGCAATCGATCGAGGGTTATACCCTACGTGATGGCGCGCTCCTCAATGTCCTCTAGAAACCCAAGGGGGTCGGAGCGACCATCGTACCTCATGCCCCACTTTCGGACTTGTTCTGGAACGTTTGCGAGATGCCTGGCCTCTGACTGCGAATATTGCCGAGAAATATAAGGACCACTATTCGTTTCGCAGGGGGTTCGCCCCAGCCCCACGTCGACCGCTATTGTCCGACGAGCTCCGCTGCTTCCAATCTCATGAGCTTCCCCTACACCCGTGACGGCTAAGCTAGGGGTCGGAATTTGCAGACGCTCGTACAGTTGCGAGCTCCTCAGGTCGGGTTCCGATTTTTGACGCGGCCGTCCGCCAAAGTCCCTGGTGGATCCAGCGCACGCCTACACCCGAATTTTGGGACGCACCTGACTGAATTTTAAGTTTTTATTACTCACTCTGGGCTTGACTTCTCCCTCTCGTGAGCCCTTGTTCGATTTTTCCTTGTTATTCTGTATGGGCGACTCTCGTTCCGTAGGCTTACTTTGTTCCACGCTCGTCTTGTCTTTGGTTCTTTTATTTTCTTCGCTTTCTCTCCTTTTTTTTTCCCCCACAGAACTAAAAAAAAAATAAAAAAATCGCACTTAATGTTCTTTTGACTTTTGACCATCTCTCACTCAGCTTCTCCCTTTTTTTTCTTGTTTCTGTTTTGCCTTTGTTCGTTATTATTATTAATTTTTTTCTTCTTTGCTATATATATTATCTTCCGTTCATTTCACAAAAAAACAAAAAAATTAACCCACTTGGTGTTCTTTTAATTTGTAGTCTTTTGTTCATTTGACTCGTTTCCTTTTTTCCTTTTATTATTCACTCCGTTTTATTAAGCACACCCGTCGTAGTCGCTTTCGCCGACTGTACTGACGAATTCACCGCGTGTGAACTGAATTCGTCCCACTGTACAGCCGCGACGCCTTAACGGCCCTTTGACGCCGACGTCGACTGCGGCGCGCGTTTGTGCACACGAGTGCAAGCGTGGTCTCGACGTCGCCCGTCTGGCGCGCGCGCGCTGTTCTTTTCGACCGACCGTTATCTCTCCTTTTTTTTCCCCGTTGCTTTGCGAGCTTGACTTCTGTGCACATTGTTGGTTGCCTAAATCTTGCAGGTGTTCCCTTTTCGCCTAACATAGGGTATGAAGTGCACTTACTAGGGTATACTCGACTGTCTACTACCCTAGATTGGCACTTTACCCCAATATGATGTCTTCCCCTTCTCTTGTTCTCTGCTGGGGTACATACATTCTAAGGTATGCCCGACTCAAAAATATCCTGTTGGGCATTTGGGTATTTGGGTATTTGGGCATACTTGCTGGGCTTTACGGGCTTTAACCGCCGGCCATCGCAGCAACCGTGCGTTGCTGATCGGTTGCTCATCACCGCCTTCGAGAGCGCAGCTTCGCTTCGGAGCTTTCGCTCTACGCCGCCGAATCGAAGCTGCGCTCTCGAAGGCGGTGATGAGCAACCGATCAGCAACGCACGGTTGCTGCGATGGCCGGCGGTTAAATTCGAATACAAATCTATTCCCAATAGATGTTTAACAATACAATACTAACAGAAACGGCTCCTTGCCTTCTTTACTATTAATACTTATGCTACATACAAAATAATAAAACTATAAATCTAATGGCTCCTTGCCTTCCTTACAACTAATACTTATGCTACTTATAACTAACAAAACAATAAAACTATAACTCTAACGGCTCCTTGCCGTGAAACAGAATTGTGGGGTGGCCGCTCTAGGTAGCCGCCTTACAATATGTATTTATATAAACGAGATATTCATTTACTTACGTCGCCCCTAGCAACCCAGAGAGCTCTTTAGGTAGGCTAAGAATAATTAGGCGATTTAATTCAGATAAATATTTTATATGTAAGAAATTTTACTACATACAATTTTTTTTAGCCAATCGCACAATTAAGATTTATAAATTTGTCCTCCAACGTTGTTCCCAGCTGCAGTTGGCCATAACTTTCGGTGACGTCTTTCCCTTTATTTGTGTTGTTCGGCTAGGAAAGAATTGCATTTTTTTGAAATGAATACACATTGTCCATAATCATAAGTATATACAACAATTATACGCACGTGGTGAAGAAATGAGAACTTAAATAACTGAGTGGAGATAGCCTGCAGAGATACCTGCAATAGAAGTAATATTAGTTGTCAATAATTATAAGAATACACGAATAATTATACGCACCTGTGAAGCTAATGCAATGTCCGCTTGCATGAGATTGTAAGTGGCTGCAAAGATAAATGCAGTAAGAAATGATATTAATTGTTATTAATTCTAAGAAAACGCAACCAATTAAACGCACATATTGGAGGAAAAGAATGTCCGGCTAAGCTTTAATTGATGGGGAGAGTGGGCATAACAGCCGTCACAGGCTGATGCAGGCCATCTAGTGGCCAAAATGAGAGAGACGAGGGTCTGGAACCGGGACCCGATCTGGAAGAGTAAAGTGGATAAATAGTGTTTTTTTGTTAATTTATATTGAGCGTCTCACGTTTGTTGTTTAAATTTTCTTGTTGTTACAGCTGTTTGTGTTTTTCATTTGTTAACAGTTCCGGCTGTTTGTTGTTATATAAGATATACGTCGACTTCTTGGGGAAGTATCCACGGTCAAAACGAGGACATGCGTAGATATTCATCGTCGTCGACCACTTTTCAAAGTTTACCTTTCTGAAGGCCATGAAGGAAGCCACCGCGGTGGAAGTCGTCAACTTTCTAGTCCACGAAGTGTTCTTTAAATTTGGCGTGCCGGAAGTGATCCACTCGGATATTGGGCGGCAATTTATTTCCAAGTCATTCGATGTAATGGTCCGGGCGTTTGGCATTACGCATTTGCGTACCCCAGTTTACTCGCCTCAGAGTAACGCCGCCGAACGCGTGAACCGCACAGCGCCGTCTGCAATAAGAACCTACTTGCGCCAGGATCACAGAGAATGGGACGCGTACCTACCAGAGGTAGAAGTGGCGATCCGGAATGCGGTGCACAGCGCTACGGGAGTGACTCCGTTCTTCGCGGTGTTTGGCCAGCACATGGACCTGAATGGTTCCAGTTACAAACTGGCCCGGAAGCAGAGGACATTGGCGGAACACAGCATTTCTGACCTAGACGCGAAGGACAGACTGGATGTAATCCGAAACCAGCTCAAGGAACACCTGCACATCGCGTACGAGAGAAGTCGCCAACGCTATGAACAACGCGCGCGCCAACTCCATCTGGGCCTTCAATGCCAAGTTCGCCCAGAAATTCCTGAAGAGCCACGTCGCCCAAGCCGTAGGTACCAACGCCTACGAGTTAGAGACGTGTGCTGCGCTTTTACTACGCAGAAGATCTACGAACATAAGCGTAATTTCCTCACAGGCGTTAACGGCGGCAGTGTCCGTCCTCTTTGGTCAGCGGCGCCAGTACAGAGTATTTGTCGTGGGTGTGGCCAACGTTGGGTATCCAGCGAGGAGTTTAGTTTTGTTAGCTGTCGACGGCGGGCGTGCCGGCTCGAAGCGAGTTTAAGTTCTTCCTTTTGCGTGTCGGCTCCAAATATTCGAGAAAAGTTTATCCATCCGGCTAATTAAGCCGGCGCGTACCAACAAAAATTAACAAATAAAATCGTTTTTTGTTCTGGCAATTAAATAAATAAACGTGAATTCAACCATTTGGGTCACCATATAGACAAAAATTAGAAAGACTTACAACTTAAGCGCGACACGTGACTTACACATAAAAACAGTAAGACACTTACTAAATGAAAACGACCCCCGGTTCCGACAACGAAGTTACCAGTTCTCGGACCAGAGGGTCCAGCAGGTCACCCCAAAGGCCAGGATTTGGCTTAGCGACGCACGTCAGCCATATCAGCGGTGCATGTCAGCATTATCGGCGGCGCACGTCACCCAAGCCTCGGCGCAACCATAAAGCGAAGAATCGGCCACAGGCGAGACCACGCCCACAACCTCCGACTGAGCCAGTTCCATTTCGGCCCTCCTCGCCCGAGTAATAGGCAGAGTCAGACGTAGACTCCCGATTGTGCTCCCTGAAAGAGAGCAGATTTTTTGTAGTTGTTAAATTTAGTTTTTTTGTTTGTAAATTATATATACATAGGTACTTACGCCAAGCTTCACTTTAGAGTTCGAACAGTGAGGGAAAACTCCAAAGGTTATGCATATGCGCCGATAAAATATAAAAGTTTCAAATTTGGTACTTGCGCGAACAATACTCACATACATATCAAACTTGAATTACCCCTTTTTATCGCCCCTTACCACCCCCAGAGAGCTCGTTAGGTAGGGTAAGGTAGAATTAAGCGATTTAATATATATCACCTACCTGCTGCACGACTGATTATCGTGACATATCCGGTTATAAGTATTTGCGTGGGTACACTGTTCCTAAATCGGTGCAACGATTGCCTCGTAATTGCTTTCTCTTTCTTTTTGCGGCGCCTGGCAATAACCTCTGACCAATGTACTCTAAAAAAATAGAAATTTTATAAATTAATGTCAACTGTCCATAACAATACGAGAACACAATAATTATAAGCATCTGCTGGAGCTGAGAAGAAATGTTCGTTGGTATACAATTATAAATCGCCGAGTGAAGATACCCTGCTAAGAAAAATTGCAATTAGAAATATATATCAATTGCCTATAATTATAAAATAATGCAAAGTGGAATACACACCTGTTGAAATGTATGGAAAGTCAGCTGGCATAGAATGATAAATAACTGAATGGAGATACCTTGCAAAATAGAAAGAAATAAGAAACATTAATTGTTAATAATTATAAAGAATGCAACCAATTATACGCACATATTGACGGAAAAGAATGTCCGGCTAAGTTTAACTTGATGGGGAGAGTGGGCATAACAGCCGACACGAGCTGATGCAGGCCATCTAGTGGCCAAAATGAGGGAGACAAGATCAGGAGATCGAAGACTGTTTACATTTTTTGGTTGCTACAGCTGTTCATTGTTCATGAGTTAGAAGTTCCGACTGTTTGATGTTATCGGTTTTGTGGTTCGTTTTGCCACTAACCAAATAACATATAGACCGGACAAACCCTTCTTTCGATGGTGACATTCGATATTTCTGCGGCTGGTCCAAACTCGCCTTCGTTTTTGTTCGGGTTCGAGACATGCCCGCATGCTCTCAGAGCAAGAGAGTAAGAATACATATGGCCTGTGTCGGGGAACGGCAACGCTGTCTTTTTACTCGCTCACTCTACAAGAAACTGCTGTGGCTTACTCTCATCCATATGATTTGTGCGATAGAACGGCATCGCTGTTTTTTATCTCGCTCCCACTACAGGAAACTGCTTTGGCTTACTCTCAGTGCTCTTTCAATTTGTCTATGTACCGTTTAAATGTTTGTGTGTGTATGTGTCCGCACAAGCAAAAATACCCACAAATTCAATTTTTCTCAAAATTCGGTGGCATATCTTCCCTTTTGAGAGGACGAGTAATATGAAATAATGAAAGGGTTTGCCCCGTCGATGCGAAATTCTTTCATTTTAGCTCGTTCTTCTTCGAAAGGGTACCTAAGCGTTGGCATGTGTCCATTTAAACGTTTTTGGACTTGCTATTCACGCATACTTGCGTATTTTGTATATGAATAGAAGCATTTATGCGCATGTGTGCCTGTTGGTCCCTGCCTGCCTGTCCGATGCAAATTTGACAATATTTTTGGATTTCTGAATTTCGAGCTCTACACACACACACAGAGACACAAATGTGTGTGAATGGGCTGATCATGGGCGCAAAATTTAAAAATATCATTATTGGCACGCGTCTGACGCGCGCCCTTCTTTTTTATGATTTTGGGCTTGAATTGATGAATGAATGTTGACCCCTCATTTTACTCGCTCACTCTACAAGAAACTGCTGTGGCTTACTCTCATCCATATGATTTGTGCGATAGAACGGCATCGCTGTTTTTTATCTCGCTCCCACTACAGGAAACTGCTTTGGCTTAATCTCAGTGCTCTTTCAATTTGTCTATGTACCGTTTAAATGTTTGTGTGTGTATGTGTCCGCACAAGCAAAAATGCCCACACGCGAGTGAAAATAAGTTTGAAGCAAATCGGACACAACTTAAAACTTCGCCCAAAAAATCTTTGAAATGAATCTCTGGAAATGAATTTGAGCGCGAAACGTCACCCACCAAATCCTGTAGATCAAATTCATATATGAAAAAGCTAAATATTTTAAGACAATAAAATTATTAATACTATCAATATATAATTGCTCCTAAAATTAGTTAAGTGATCGGTCACTTGACCTACATATGCAGGTGCAGGTGTTTGCCAAAAGTTGACCCTTTCGGCCCAACGGGCTGCTGCAGGTAATAAGGGGTCAACATTCATTCATCAATTCAAACCCTAAATCATAAAAAGAAGGGCGCGCGTCAGACGCGTGCCAATAATGATATTTTTAAATTTTGCGCCCATGATCAGCCCATTCACACACATTTGTGTCTCTGTGTGTGTGTGTAGAGCTCGAAATTCAGAAATCCAAAAATATTGTCAAATTTGCATCGGACAGGCAGGCAGGGACCAACAGGCACACATGCGCATAAATGCTTCTATTCATATACAAAATACGCAAGTATGCGTGAATAGCAAGTCCAAAAACTTTTAAATGCACACATGCCAACGCTTAGGTACCCTTTCGAAGAAGAACGAGCTAAAATGAAAGAATTTCGCATCGACGGGGCAAACCCTTTCATTATTTCATATTACTCGTCCCCTCAAAAGGGAAGATATGCCACCGACTTTTGAGAAAAATTGAATTTGTGGGCATTTTTGCTTGTGCGGACACATACACACACAAACATTTAAACGGTACATAGACAAATTGAAAGAGCACTGAGAGTAAGCCAAAGCAGTTTCCTGTAGTGGGAGCGAGATAAAAAACAGCGATGCCGTTCTATCGCACAAATCATATGGATGAGAGTAAGCCACAGGAGTTTCTTGTAGAGTGAGCGAGTAAAAAGACAGCGTTGCCGTTCCCCGACACAGGCCATATGTATTCTTACTCTCTTGCTCTGAGAGCATGCGGGCATGTCTCGAACCCGAACAAAAACGAAGGCGAGTTTGGACCAGCCGCAGAAATAACGAATGTCACCATCAAAAGTACGGTTTGTCCGGTCTATATGTTATTTGGTTAGTGGTTTTGCGTAGTGTTGTGTACAGAAGTTGTAGCTTTGTTGTTATCGATTATGCGGACTGCGGACAAGGGATG